GGCCACAGGGCCCCCCCACGCCCCCAGCGCCGGCCCAGCCGAGCAGCCTTTGATTGGCAGGAGGGCCCCACCAACTGCCCAGCTCCACGCGCTGCCGTGTCGGTCTGCATGCAGCTCATACGCACACGCACATGCACCCACACGTCCCACCCTGCAGGTGCAACAGGTGCCCAGCCCAGGAGAGTGAGGGTCCTCCCTGCAGCCCCCTTGGGGCTCCTAGGCCCAGTCTCAGCCCAGACCCCTCCTGGCCCTTTCAGGCCTCCCCTGTCCCCACTGTGCACAGCTCAAGGACCAGCTCCACAGACCCCTCTGGAGGCCCTGCTGTCTGCCCAGTCCCCAGACTTGAGTCCTCCCTTTCCGGAGCCCAAGGAGGACCCAACCACAAAGTGGGAACAGGAGTGGGTAGGGGCTTAGACACAGGCAGAGGCGACTCCCCAGACCCTCTGCAGGCTGCTGGCATCTGCTTGGGCTCCCACAACCACTGTGGGGACAGCTGGCACCACAGGGCTCCCACCAGGGGGCAGTGGGGACGCTGCTCTTGTCTAAGATTCATTTGGGCCTCCCAGGGGCCCTGCCTTCTGGCTGCTTCCTTCAACCCTCAAATGGAAGGGGTGTGGAGGCCCGTTCACACCCTGGCCACTGCCCCTTCTGAGAATCCAGTCACCAAAGAGCCACATGGAAAGCAACAGACTAACTGAGAAAGCAGAGAAGCCTTCCAGCCAACCCCTGGGACCCAGGATCTGGCCCAAAGAGGGTCCTTCTAAAGAGGGAGAGGGAAGAAGAACCAATAAATGAGGAGCCAAGCCACCAGAAGTAGAGCAGGTGGATAAGTAGGTAGCCCGTAGGACACAGCGAATGGATGAGCAGGTGGATGGGTGGGTGGATGGACATGTGGGTGGACAGATGAGTGGATGGACAGATGGATGGACAGATGGGTGGATGGCCAGGTAGGTGGACAGATGGGTGGATGGCCAGGTAGGTGGACAGATGGGTGGATGGCCAGGTAGGTGGACAGATGGGTGGATGGCCAGGTAGGTGGACAGATGGGTGGATGGCCAGGTAGGTGGACAGATGGGTGGATGGCCAGGTAGGTGGACAGATGGGTGGATGGCCAGGTAGGTGGACAGATGGGTGGATGGCCAGGTAGGTGGACAGATGGGTGGATGGACAGATGGATGGACAGATGGGTGGATGGCCAGGTAGGTGGATGGATGGGTGGATGGTCAGGTGGGTGGACAGATGGGTGGATGGACAGATGGGTGGACAGATGGGTGGATGGACAGGTGGGTGGATGGATGTGGGTGGGTGGGTGGATGGACAGGTAGGTGGATGGATGAGTGGATGGACAGGTGAGAGGGTAGGACTGGCATAGGGAATTAGTAAACCAAGTAATTTATTTTACACTTTGTAGTGTATACACCTTGTCACATATGAACTCCATAAATATCCATGTGGTAGGTATTCTTGCCCCCATTGTAGTGAGGCTGTCAAACCCAGGGCTCTTTTCATTCGCTTATCCATTAATGCACCCTCCTGCAGGTGGGAAGAACAAAAGGAAAACAGCCTTTGACGTAAAGCGTTATGTACATGCTACTAGTGGGTGGATGGACAGGCGGGTGGGTGGATGGATGGGTGGATGGTTGGGTGGACAGGCAGGTAGGTGGATGGATGTGGGTGGGTGGATGGACAGGTGGGTGGATGAACAAGTGGGTGAGTGGATGGACAGGTGGGTAGATGGATGGACAGGCGGGTGAGTGGAGGGACAGTGGATGGGTAGATGGACAGGTGGGTGGGTATTTGGGTGGATGAACAGCTGGGTGGGTGGATGGGTGGGTAGATGGACAGGGGAGTGGGTGGATGGGCAGGCGGGGGGGGGGGGGG